CTGCAGGTCCGGACGATGGTTCAGCAGGTCCAGAAAAGGGGCCAAAGCGTGATCGTCTGGTCCTGACAGGAAGCTGCTGGCCGGGCGGGACATGAAGACGGAGCGCGTGTTCACGCTGCACCACGCCCACCTGAGGAGGGGGAGGAGGGGGGCGTTATGTAGGGGCTGCAGCAAAAGGGAGGTTTGCTGAAGGTCTGCTCGTTTCTCTACCTGAGCGCCTCGTATGTGAACACGTCTTCTGTGGGACGGCGGAGAACCGGACGCAGAGTCCTGGACCCATCAAACAAACAGCTTCAGCTGGACTGATGCAAAAACACTTTTACTGTCTTTGGTTTGATGTGATAAAGAAACGTAATATTGCTTTGATTTTCTTGCCATAGGTCTCTCTCTACCACATTAGTTTCCCCCCTAATGCTACTTTCAAACGCCCCCCTAAGCATGATGCTGCCCCCACCATGCCTCACTGTGTGGCACTTTCTGTCTGAATGCAGCTCAGCTTCTTTGTCCTCCTATAGGGGGCAGAGCTTTAAACCTCATCTGATTCGTTCTATAAAACAGAACAGGCCGTTCAATTCTGCCTTTAACCCAGAATCAGCATTCTCATCACAGTCATAATCCTCTTAGCTATAATCATCCTAATGCTGCTTATTAGCTCATTACATTTAGTAAATATCAGTTTTTACGCAGGACTGATCAGGTGTTTACCTCATAAGATGGAGGTTTTTTAATGCAACAATAAAGACATACGATTATGAGAATGAAGTCATAATAATATTAGAGCCAAAAACATTATGAGAAAAAAAAAATTGTTTTCAATAAGCTGAAAGCTTGGATAGATTAAACCCAAACTGCAGCCGTTTCACTGAGGGGAAAGATGACTTTTTCTGAGGAGTTTACATTGAAGTAGGATTCTTCTTAATCTCTGAATATTTTGACTTTATTCTCGTTATATCACAACTTTATTCTTGTAAAGTTAAAATTTAATCCATTTAATGGCAGGACTTAATTTTGTTAATATTATACATTTATTATAATAGACATAATAGTATGACTTTAAGTTGGTAATATTATTAGCTTAATCTCATAATTTTAGGACTTGAATGCTAATTCCAATAATTGTTCTTTAATCTCGTCATGTCCGACTTTATTCTGGTTTTATTACAACTCATCTCATTATGTTACAATTTTATTCTCATAGACTTAATAGTATTCCTTTTCATTGACTTTATTCTGGTAATATTTCAACTATGATCTCACAATTTTATAACTTTAATCTCCTAGGACTAAAATTAGGACTATTAATTTTGTGATTAATCTCGTAATTGTCCGCCTTTAAAGCTCAGAACTTTAATCTAATATTTTTTACTATTTAAATCTTTTAGGCCTAAATCAAACCTTTATTTGAATAAATTATTATTTAAATAATAATAGACCTAACATTATGACTTTAATCTCATTATATTATTATTTGATTTTCTTAATTACCAGAACAAACATACCTCTTAGCATACCCCTAATACTTCATAATGCTTGTGTGATTTCTTTTAAGATATAAAAATAACTGAAACATCTTTAAATGAACACAAATTTCTCTGAGTACATTAAATTATAATCCCTGATGTTTAGGAAAAAAAAAACAATTATTTGATTGGATCATATTCAGATGCTCCACCTCCTGCAGGACTCTCTCAGTACTTTGGTTCCTTCTTTAAGTCCTTAAAGCTGATCCTTTTCGCAGCAGTTGCCTGTTTATTTGTTTGTTGAATCAATCAGTTTAAGGTATGAATTATACTGTCAATAATAGAGGCATCTTCATCTACTCATTCAAATAGGCTCAGCCAACCTGAAGAAATCCTGATTGGAGGAGTGCAGGTCCCGCACTGCCTCCCTCTGCTCTAAGGCCCGCCTCTTCAGGGCGGCTGGTAGGACATCCAGGACGTCATCATAGAAATAAACGGGGCAGGTGTAAGAGTGGGGTAACACGTCGATGTAGGGGAACCAATCAGAGGCCTCCCCACGATGGCGCTCGCACACCAGGAAGACGCAGAGCGCCAAAAGTGGAGAAAGGTGGGGCTTGGAGCTGCAGACGAGACACAGATTCAACATGCTGATGAAATCCTTCCCTCATAAAAAAAAGGCCATTTCAGAGAAATCTGTTCCTTTACCTCTTGATAAACGGCCCCAGGTAGCTGCTCAGAACGGTGGATGTTGTGAGGAGGCAGGATTCTGGGAGAGAAACAAGCAGCTGGCCTGGCTGGTCAACATGGAGACAGAAACGTTTCTGAATTTGTGCACATTATTTCTTCTCTGTGCAGTTTTTACATTTAGATTAAAAAACACAAAAACCTCCAGGAAAGTAAAGAAGTTTGATTCACAATTATTCTAAACAGATTTTTATCAACTAGCCAAAAGTTACCTTGATAGTCTGAAGCGTCTGCAGTCCTCTGCCTGTGTCTGGAGAATAAGACAGATTACAACACAGTTTATTTTACCTTATTGTGTGAATCTAAATGCTCCCATTAACATGCTGCTTAGATATGAACTTCTCCACTGGGGAACAATAAAGACTATTTCTACTTTCTTCTATTCCATCACAAGCTAAATACAAATATGCTGAATGATGCATCCTGAAATGGTGCAGAAATAATCTCTACAGATAACCTCATTGATGATAAAGCAGCTGAGCTCTGTAGATTTTAGGACATCATAGGACATTTCAGGAAAATATCCTTAGACATCAGACCATGAAGAAAAAGTGAATGGGTTAAAAAAAAAGTGGTTTCTAGAGTCCCTGAGTATTTATAAAGTGCACTGATTTCATAGATAGAATGGGCCAAAGACTCCTGGAGATGACAGTTAATAGGGAGGCAGGTGGGTGATGGTTTCTCAGCCTCCTTCCTGATGGAATCAGGCTGAAGAGCCTGACTGAAGTTTTAGAATATAATAAAATGCATTTTTCTATGTGTGACATCTGGGATCATTCGGTCTGATGTCTTCAGTATTTCTCCTGAGATCTGAGGACATCCTGGAAACAGCTGACCTGACTTTTCCTAATGCCAACATGTCAAAGGCAGCAGAGCAGAGTGGTACCAGAGAACAGGGCCGGCTGCAGGAGTGTTTGGGAGAATCCTCTCCGGTGAAGAAACCTCATCAGCCTCACGTACTGAGGCTGGTGGCCTAGAGAGACTGAGAGGTCAGAACAAAACGAAGAGTGTTAGTATGTCTGTGATGGATCAGTGTTGCGGAGGAACGAAGGAACATCTTTTTCTACCTGAGCAGACGCCACCTTGACGTTTCTGGCTCCTCTTTCTGGCAGCCCTTCCAGCTCTGCGGCTGCGACCTGTCATGGCTTCAACCAGGTCAGGGACGACATAGCAATTACATTTTAACTTCAAGTTCATTATAAACACTTCAATAATCTCTGACATTCTGTCTGGCAGATAAGAGGCTTCATCTAAAAAAAAAATAAAGGTAAAACCCACCGAGTTTCTCTCCTGAGTTGCTACTTTTCCAACGTGTCAGTCAGGCTTGATCTTAGTTGGTTTGCCGTCTAATCTAATTGCTTTTTAAGCTTCTCTTTTACTTCATTTCTGACCTGTTTGCCTTCATCAAACTCTTCTGATTCTAACTAACCTGTGAAGCCTTCCACAACAGCTGGATTAATACTGAGATTACATTAGATGATCCCTGGAGACAACTGCTCGCCCTAGATCTAATATTTCCACTTTAGTTAAAATAGATGTTAGATTTGTTCCAAACGAAATTTCTTTTTGTTTTACACTTGTGTAAACAAAATGACAAATAAATCTAAGTCTAGAGCTAAGTAGAAAAGGTAAATGATCAGATTTGTTTTATTTGGAAAACTTTATTTAGAGCACATACATACTATATTTGGTGTGGGAAAGACCCATTTAAGAACCATTTATAGACTTGAAAGACTTGAAATAAAAAACATCACAGATTGCGGTGTTTACAGAGAAATTGTCATTTCTAAGGGAAATTGTTGAAAAATAAAACCGAACCTGTTGAGTTTACGTGAATAAACGCACTAACCGATCGAGAAACGGGGCTTATCCTTCTATCCATGCTTTGCTGGATTTGCTTTTGTTTTTCCGGGTGTGCGCAGTACACCTGCGCAGTGCAACTAGCCTCCAGACCGCAGTCCACCAGTCAGCTGGGTCTCTGGGCGCTGACGAGATTTGGTGGCGCCATCTTGGAGCGGTCGACACTACTTTGGCGCAACACCGTCAGATGCCGATTGAGCCATGATGATGATTTCATTCTCGCAGTTCTACGCATTTATTCTCGTATTGTTATGACATTATTCTTAAAATAAAAAAATATATCTAGTTTTTATAGTTATAAAAATATGAGAATAAAGTCGGAAAATTATGAGAATAAAGTCGCAATGAGAATAGTCATAAAGTTATGAGAATAAAGTCGTAAAATTAAATGAATAAAGTCATAAAATTATGAGAACAAAGTCGTAAAATTAGGAGAATAAAGTTGTAAAATTATGAGAGTAAAGTCGCAATGTGGAGCATCATGTGAAGTTATACTGATCTTATTTTTTCAAGCAGTCTTGCATACAGGTCTAGCGTTTTCTTGCAATTCTCGATCGGTCACTAAGTTTAAAATAAAAATTATAAATACTCTCTTCTCCGGGAATGTATTATGTACAATTTATATTTAATAGGGAGGAAAAATAATGATAAATGTGAAGAATGTGGAGAAAAGGAAAATGTAGAACAGGTACTGATGAACTGTAAAACTTATGAACATGAAAGGGAGAAATTAAGAAGAATGGAGTCTTAAAGGAATATTGGGAAATATAAATATAAAAGATATTTAAAGATTGGGGAAATCATTATTTATTTATCTACAGAATACAAAATAAAAAAATAGATTTTTATTAATGTACGGTAATGTTGCTACACACTCATGTACAGTAGGTGGCGGTATGCTTGCGATCCGCCACAATAGCAAAGACGAAGAAGAAGAGGAATGTATTTCCTGTTTATAACTTCCGGTTCCTCCCACCTTGTTGATGTTTTCTGCTGCGCGGTGAAAACTGCTCCTTATCTTCCAGCTTCAGTCCAGCTCTGAGACAACACACAAGTAAGGTGCTTTATTGGTGATAGAAATGTAAATATCTATTGATTGTTTTAAGCAAACGTGTTTCCTGCTGACGTGCAAATTCCCGAGGAAGTGAGTGAAAGCAGGAAGCAGCTTCTGCTCCTTCTGGAATCATTAACCTGGTTTTAACCCCCAAACTTCTAATATTATCTTTACTGAGTTTACAGAAAGTAGAGCAGACATTCATGCAGATCGAGTTTATGCCCAGCTGCCTGTAACGAGGTTTATTTAAAAAGATCATGTTTTATTTTTGACGCTTGTGTTTTAACAACAAACTAGAAACCTAATTACAATGGAGGTCTTATAAAGTGATAGAAATACCAATCAGTGCTTTACTTGTTGATCTGAATAATACTTACTAATAATAAAATAGTTTTATGAGTAGATTAGATCATTTTGACATTAAAAAGGAGCTTTAATGAAGTCAGATACAGAAAAAGCTTTATTGGCAAGTAATGTTTAATTCAATTCAGTTTATTTCTATAGCTCCAAATCACATCATGTCATCTCAAGGTTCTTTTCAGTTCACCAGATCATCCAGTTAGATTGATTCAAAGTTTACTATCTAAGGAAAACCGGCTGATTGCATCACTCAGTGATGCTTCAGCAATCCCTCACACTAAGCATGCTTGTAGCGACAGTGGAGAGGAAAAACTCCCTTTGAACAGGAAGAAACCTCCAGCAGAACCAGACAAAACACTAGAGAGGAATTTTATTTTATGAGATTTTAGTCTCAAACACAAACAAACACGCAGTTTACACCTTGTATGGAAGGCAAACAAAGCTTGAAACAGTTTTAAATAAAACGAATCTTTAAAGGTCAGAGTCTGTGTGGGGAGTTACCGCTGCTAACCTCACTCTAATAACATTTTTAGCTGATTTCTTGGGGCTGAATGTTAAACATTGATCTAGTTTCAACATTGGAAACAACAGTGGGAGGACTTTAAAAACACACCATTGTTCAGGATTTATGTTCAGCAATATACCATAATGTATAACCAGCAGTGGACAAGCAGCTCGCTTATCATAACTTGAGTTAAATTCAAAGTGCAGGTCCTGCTGTTGAAATATTACTTTAGCTAAAGTACTGGAGTATGAGCTTACACACATAGTTGCTACTCTGTAAATTAGTTAATGCATTTAAGTTGAGTGTAGCTGAGAGAAATTGGGAAAATGCTCTGCTACATTGGATGAATAGAAGTGATGATGTAATTTTCTTAAAGCTTAAAGAGGCTTTTCAATTTCAGGCATTGACAGAAACACAGAGAAGTTTGCAATAGTTATGAAAGGTAAGAAACTGTGCAAAAAGTCACAACATAGGGAGTTTCCCTTAACGTCTGAAAAGAGTAGATTAAGGGGATTAGAAGAGCGAGAGTAAATTCTTGGCCAGATTAGAACCTGTGCAACCAGTAGCATATTCATTAACCTAACTGGGCCTGTAGGGGGCACCTATAGGGCACCATTCGCTGGTGGAAGAAACATGGCAGCACATTCCTTCATGGGGGGAGGGGGGGGATTTGATCCGACCACCGTCTGCTTTGATGGACAAACTTATAAAATGCTGTCAGTTTGCACTCTTTAATATTAACATTTAAAAATCAATTTTGTTGTGTTCTTGTGCTTAAGAACAATATTTTCATAAGAATGTTTGTAGATAAATTTGCCTCTTAACTATTTGTATCTTATGTCTGTTTCTGCCCATTTCTGTTTCCTTGTCATAAATGTAAATAAACCAATTTGTACAAAGTTATGGATAAATCCATGAATCTAAAATAGATTAATCTTATTGTCTTACTAACCACTTAATAGATAAGTGTCAATTTCCCTAAAAAAAAACAAAATTTCCTCTTGTATCAAGAGGAAATTGTTCTTACATTCAGAACATTTGTGATAATATGCTGAATTAAAACATTACATCATTATAATTGTACTATTTAACCTGCCAGCTGTATTAAATATTGACTGAATAAACAAAAAATATATTTTTAGTAAGTAAGTAGTAGAACCTTTAAACTGGTGGTTTAATGGGCCTATTTAGGTGAGAACTTGAGGAGTTTATTCAGTGTTTATATTCACAAACAGAACCACATACAGTTCATTTTGGATCTAGAATAACTAAATCTAGGACAGGGCTTCTCACAGTGGGATGATTTTCACAATCATGATGTGATTCCTGATGTTTGTGGAAGGCCAAAATATATCATACATGTAGGTGAAACGCTTCTGTTTATCTTATACAAGTTTCCTATTCACTTTACAAAGTAAAATGTCCACTTATAGAACTAAAACAATTAAATGTAATTTTAAAATAATAGTTATTTAAAATAGAATCTAACTAGTTAACAGTTTGTGTCAATAGAGAAATGTAATGACCAGTACTTTAGATCACACTGCAGTTGAGGGGTGGTGGCCTGGTAGGGCGTAGATCTTGGAATCCTGAGGTTCTCAGTTAGAGTCCCACTCCCACAGACTGCCACTCTGGGTCTCTGAGCAAAGACCCTTAACCCCACACTGCTCCCCAAGGGGATGGGTTAAACGCTGAGGTAAATTTCTCTATAGTGAGATCAATAAAGTTCAATTATTATTATTATAAGGCAGGCCCTGTCCAGTAGGCAGCAGTGAAATAACATCCAAGCTCTAGGTTTAGGGTTGGATGGTCAGCGCTCTGATCATTCAGTGGAACCGAGCGGTTAGAGGGAATATTAGGATGTTTTATGATTTCAATCCAGATGTTTGTTCAGGTTCCTGTTGCTCATTGCTGGACTAGGGGTGTAAATCTCATCCATCATGGCGATTCGATACAGTATCGATTTCCTGACCCAACGATTCGATTATTTTCGATACTTAAGAATACACCACGATTCGATTCGATTAATCGATTAATCGGTTAATTTTTTTTTATTATTATTATTTTTTTTTTTTTACACCTTACAGGCTAAACAAAGTTTCAAGTTTGAAATAAATCAATGAAAGCTGTAATATCATTATGCATTTTCTTTAGAAACAACAGCAAATAACAGAAGTAGAAAAGTTGCATCAAAAAATACTGCAAAAATACTGCACAATATCAGTGTAATGAGTTCAATGCAATACCTCGGCTCCAGAGAAACTGTCCAACATATTTTTTTAGAATGTAATAAATATATTCAGGAAAGAGAGATGTTGTGTAGAGAGTTAGACAGGAATAAAAATAAACTAGATATAAGGGAATTGTTTCAAAGGTCATCTGGGGATGTAGTTTTTGGGGGTATTTTTAATTTTCTAAGAAGAACGGGTATTTTAGGGAGAATATAATAGTTTGTCTGGTCCATACTCCATTCTGGAAGGTGGCGGTAATGCACCTATAAGTTGTTTGCCAACCGCCATTAAAAAAAAGAAGAAGAAAAAGGCTCCAGAGTGTTGACGTCACTGCCCCTTGAGAGACGCTCCGCTGCACCTCTCCCAGATTGTAGCTGACCGCAAACAGTGCACCAGACAGGAGGCCGGCTTGTTTTGTTTTTATGACCGAAATTGCGGAAAACAACTCGTGAAGTTTGACCCGCTAGAAGAGCGAGGTGCGCGAGAACGCTGGGACCCTTTTTCCAGCTGAATCTCCGCTCTTTCTGCCCCATTGTCCCTCCGTCGTCGGACTAAACTCGCCCCCACTTCCTCATCGCCTCGGCCGTATCTAGACCCACAGCGTGTAGCCCAGACCACGCTTCAATACTGAGCATAATTTAAAAATATCTGTGTGAAGCTTGCTGCAACAAACTGCTGTAAGAGTATAACCAGGAAGCGCGGTAGGAGGGCAAAATAGGTTTAGCGCCACCGCAGCACGGGAGGGAGAATTACGCCCAGGAGCAAATGGATAAAAATAGACCGGAGGGGGAAAAAAAAACATTAATCGATTATCTTGCGGACGTGTCGATGCATCGGATCGTCGGCTTTTGGATCGATGCATCGATACAAAACGATTGTTATTTACACCCCTATGCTGGACTTCATGCTCTCATGTCTCGCCCTGCAGTCATGTCCACCAAGGTCGCCGTCGTCACCGGAAGCAACAAAGGCATCGGGTTCGCCATCGTCAGAGCGCTTTGCAAGCAGTTCCAGGGGGACGTTTACCTCACCTCCAGAGATGTGTAGGTAGTTCACCTGATTGATACCCGTCTCTGCTTTAAAATGCACAAGTTCACTTTTTTCTCCTTCACAAATTAATAGATATCAGGAAAAGTTAGTTTTATGATTTTATTAAATTCAAGAAATTGATCAGAAAGAGGACAAAATTTGGTAAGAACAAACTTTCTCACAAATAATAAAAACCAATGTTTTTCAAGACTGAAGACAAAGTTTTGAGACAAAATATTTTGTCATGAACAAATAAAAGATAGACATTTGGAAAATGATTTAAAAGAGGAAAAAAAAACTCTCCCAAAAATATAGTTTTAACCTCAAATGAAAATATTTTCTGTCGAAAATGTATTTCTTTCTCACAAACATTTTGTTCTCTCTTAGAACCTAATTCTTGGCGTCACTCGAGGGGTTTTCTCTCGACGTGACGTCACTCAGCTGTCCACTCTGTCAGCCAATAGGAACACAGGCCCCCCATGACACATTTTCACGCCCAGAGAAAAATCCTGAATTGAAACCAAAGACTTAGGTTTTGAGAGAGAAGAAAAAGATTTGATGAGAAATGTTTCACTCTGAGTGCAAAAAAACCCTATATATATATATATATATATATATATATATATATATATATATATATATATATATATATATATATATATATATATATTTTTTTTTTTTTTTTTTTCCCCTTAGAACTAATTTTCCGAATGTTAGTTTATCTTTTGTTTATTCTAGGACAAAATATTCAGTCTCAAACTTTTTCTTTAGTCTCAAATAAAATCAGTCTTTGCTCTCACTGTGAAAATTTGTTTCAATATATTTATTTTAATTATTTCCCCTATCAGACTGCTTTTTCTCTTAAATGTAATAAAAACCAAGATAACTCTGGATTAAGCTGCTAGCATAGATTGTCAATGACGTTCATTCTCCTGAACCAAATAACTGACATTGCCATGAATGAACCCTCTGGCAGTGGGCGGGGTCAGGCGGCCGTGGAGTCTCTGGCCTCTGAGGGACTGAAGCCGTTGTTTCACCAGCTGGACATCAACGACCTGAACAGCATCGTCACAGCTGCCGCTTTCTTCAAGGAGAAGTACGGAGGAGTGGACGTCCTCATCAACAATGCTGCCATAGCTTTCAAAGGTCACTGTGGAACACAGATCAAAGTTTTCTCATTCATGTATCTAGTGTGGAATGAAATGGAGCAGAAACAGGAAGTGAACTGTGGTTGTTTCATGTTGACTCTCTCCTCAGTGGCCGACACGACTCCTTTTGCAACCCAGGCTGAGGTCACAATGAAAACCAATTTCTTTGCCACCAGAGACATGTTGACTCACTTCATGCCTCTCATCAAAGCTGGAGGTACAAGATCCAAACTTATTCTAGTTTATTCTCTTAAAGCCACCTTTAAAGCGTTTATAACTCAGACTGCATGAAAATTACACTGATAAAATGTTTTCACTATAGACATGTTAGACATCATTGGAAAGCTTAGATTCTCCACTATTCAACCACCTAGTTCATTATATGGACACAGGGAGCACCAAAACCCAGTTAACACAGATATAGCAGCATGTCAAGATGTAAAAATGACAAAGCAGCCCCAACAAGCAAGCAGGTCTTTAGTACTGCTGTTCAAAAAAGACCTCTGATTTTTGAGATAAAAACAGCTTTGAGTTTTGTTTGAACTGATGAGGCTTGGGTGTTTTACTCACCCAATTTTTGTTTATATATTCAGAAGTGTTAGCTTCAAATAATGTATCACATGTTTAATTTGGGCTTTCAGTGCCTCAGTTATTTACTTTTCCATTTTGGTTTGCAAAACAGGTGAGAATTTCCCAAAATGTGGTGGATGTTAAGTTAATAGAAAAATGGGCTTGTGCACGTACGTCTTTTAAAAACTCCTCCACAATACCTTTAAGTAAATTGCAGAGAAAGACGACAGACTAACAAGAACTAAGAAATATATTAAGATGCTATAAAACATACAAACATAGCATATTGGGTTCCTCAAGGTCCGTTAAGCGGCCTCTTACAATAATGAAAGTAAATGTAAAGCTTAAATGTTTGGGTTTTAGGGTCCCTATCCTGCCGACATTTTTAATGATTTATTTATGCTTTGTAAATACCACCGCAAGTGAATATAAACATTTAATGTTCTTTACTTGCAATGCAATACATTTACTCTGGTTTACGCTGCTAACAATAACTTTTTCATCTTTATCAACCTATGGTGAATCAGAATAAAAAGTATTATACAAGGTTTTTCAAAAACAGACACCTGTCCTCCCAATAGTACACATTGTAGTACTTCTGTTGATCGTTATCTTTTTCTTTTTTTAAATTCAAATAGGACAAAGCAGCAGCTGTTTCTTTTTCCTTTCTTAGATCTACCAGCGTTTAAAAAAAACAACAAAACAAAAAAAAAATTATATATATATAAGTATACACCTATTTTTTGATTAAGACATTTTTTCAAGTTTTATATCTGGATTAAATTTTCCATTTGGGTATTGTGTTTTCTTTCTTTATATTTTCATTTACAATATATGTTTTTTAAGTTTCACTTACCGAACAGATTATTTTTATATATTATTATTATTATTTTATATTATTTTTTACATAGAAAAAAACAACAACAGATTTTTGTTTTTTATTTCTATTTACAAAATGTAGATCTAAATGTAAATTTTCCAAATTTACATTTAGAAAACAGGAAGTTTCTCTTCATATTATTGGAGAAAACCAGGTGGAACAACAATGGGATTAAAAAACATCACTTTCCTGTTTGGTCATTCTGTAGACGAGATAACAGTGAAGTGTTTCTATACGTCATGGAAATGTGCACCTTAGTTACCGATGCTGCAAACAGAAGCCAGTGTTCAGATAAAAGGACCTTTGGTTACATTTTTTTCAAGACTGTATTGATGAAAGCTGTAAAATGATGTTTCAGGTGCCTTAAAGTTTTAAATAGAAGAAAAAAACATGTTTATTGGCGGCAGACATGTTGGTTCCCCTCCTGAGACGCCGTCTTCTCTGTTTCTCAGGCCGAGTGGTGAACGTTTCCAGCTTTGTCGGCTCTCGTACTTTGAACAACTGCAGCCCAGAGCTCCAGCAGCGTTTCCGCAGCGAGGACCTCACAGAGGACGAGCTGGTGGGACTCATGCAGCGATTCGTGGAGAAAGCCAAAAAAGACGAGCACAAGCAGGACGGCTGGCCTGAGACTGCATATGGCGTGTCCAAAACCGGACTGACGGTAGGATTTCCTGTTCAGCTGAATTCATCCCTCCTCACAGACAACTTTTCTTTTAATCCGTGTGTCATTAATGTTTTTTAATTTAAAACCAACAATAAAAATGCATTAAAATTCCATTTTAATAAAATAATATAAAAACAGAAAATAACCCTGTAAAAAATATATTTTTATTGTTAATTCAGTTTGAAGTGAAAAGATTTCTGCTGGTGAAGATTCTCAGTCATCCAGTTCATAGAAATAAAAAAAAAGTAAAAAAACAATCCACTGGACTTTGTTTCCAAGTTTGAAGACGTTTTGCTTCCCATCCAGGAAGCTTTTTCAATTCAAAATGTCAGAAATGGCGTTGAGTCCATGCTTTATAGAGTGGACCAAAAACGGAGCTTTATTTCTGTTTAGAAAACATGTAAATTGAACTTGACGAACGGGTCCACCCCTTAGGAATGGGGTTCGTTTGGCTTCTTTGTTAGCCTGTAATACCTGAAACCTGTCTATGTCTCTGAAAGGGGGGTCGTTAAAGGGAATTGTTGGCCGGGCTGAAGAGGCGGAGTCTTCTGTTCCCTTGTAAACGGGTTTGCACTGCCATAATAAAGTGAAGGGATCAAGTCAATTGTTGCATTGTAGGTTTTTCAAAGCTGGAATCTGAGTCCACTCCCTCTGTTTAGGGTTGTTTTTTCTTTCTTAACATAGACGGCTTCCCCCACGCCCCTCTCTAACCACCTGTCTTCTTGGTCCAAAATGTGAGCATTCTGCTCCTCACTGAATGTCTTTTGTCCATAAGGTGTAGATGTACAGTCCAGAGGAGGCCATTCCAAAGGGACGGACTTACCCGTCAGGTTCAATTTACACGTGTCTAAGCCATAACAAGGCTTTGTTTGTGGTCAACTGTATAAAGTCTGGCAATTTGAACTGAAAAAGCGTCCTGGATGGGAAGCAAAACTTCTTCAAACTTGGAAACAAAGTCCAGCAGATTGTTTTTGAACTGAAAAGATTAGGGATGCACGATATAATGGGCCCCCTATCGGTATCGGCCTGTATCGGCCTTAAAACTGAATATCGGACATCGGCCACCCCACCGATATTTAACCCGATATTTGATCAGCTTCTGAGTTTCTAAAGTCTAAAAAAAATATAAAAATACTACTTTTTCTTCCTTCTCAAAAACTTCTTTTTTACAGATTTAAAAACTTCTAAAGACGAGGGAAAAAATATTGATCCATTAAAATATCCCAATATCTTCATATGCTGATATATTGCCATTTAAAAACACCATATCAATCTCTTTTACTAATGAAATATTGCTATATGTCATCGTTATGCTACGAAATCCCCCGAAAATTCACAAAATTTTGCCATATTTTTATATGTTGATATATTGACGCGGTATCGATCTATTTTACTAACAAAATCTCACAAGAATTTGCAAAATATCACGAGAGTTTGTAACAGAACGATGAAATTTCACGAGATTTTGAAAGTAAAATAGATCGATACCGCGTTTTTAAAAATCTATTTGGTATCAGCATATGAAAATATATTTGAGTATATTATTTGTGTCAGAAATGGATAACAAAACTGCTATTTTCAATGACTACTTATTTTTGTCCAGCTTTAACATCGGTATCGATATCGGTTATCGGCTACATGAGTTTTAAAATATCGGCATATCGGATATCGGCCAAAATCCCAATATCGTGCATCCCTAGAAAAGATTAACGTTACTCTTTGCCGTTTAAGCTACGGGACCTAGCATATGTCATTTACCCAGAATACATTGATAATGTGTTGATTATATTTTTCTAATGTAGAAAAAATAAACATGTTATGTTCTTTTTACTGTATTAACCCTGACAATGAGTACTTCTCTCAGACTATTGTCACTAATCCAGGATCCCTTCAGTGTAAAAGAAAAACGTTTCAATTCTTTTACTCCATTAAAGAATCCATATTGTTTTGTGATATCTAAAAACTAGAGATGTTTATGAAGTTATATCCGTTGATCTAAGCTAAGATGTTTAAAGCATTTGCTGTGGTCTCTGTGTTTTGTCTGCAGACGCTGTCCATGATCCTGGCTCGTCGTCTGTCTAAGGAGCGACCAAATGACGGGGTATCTCAACTCTTTGAGATCATTCTATAAAAGAGCGTTTGCATTCTCTGTGTGATTCAACTGAACTGGTAACATTTTTTATTGTTTCTTTTTTAAACTTCTCTAAGATTTTGCTGAACGCCTGCTGTCCTGGATGGGTGCGCACAGATATGGCAGGTCAGAAAGCCCCTAAGTCACCAGACGAGGGCGCCGTCACGCCGGTGTACCTGGCTTTGCTCCCTGCAGGAGCCACAGAACCACACGGGAGGTTCGTCTCTGAGAAGGAGGTGCAGCTGTGGTGAAACCAACATACATGGAGCTGATGTTTCATTGCGTAAAGACGGGTCATTCCTTCCAGCTCATTCCATAGTCATCATGTATTTTATCTGTACAGTAAGCAAAGGTCCTCCCTGTTGAATAATGCTGATCCAAACACTACCTCAGGTAGCAGTTTGTCTGTGCCTGTCACTTTAAATGTGTCCTTATTTGAACAAATGTTTAAAGTGCTGACAAAGCTTACCTGAGCTTCCCGTTATGTGTCTTACTGCTATTAAAAAGGGTGAATATGATCAAATTAGCTGCCCTGACATGAGAAGGAAAATGTTTTTCTACAATAAAAAGATTTACACTAAGTGACTAATGACAGTTTGTTTCTAACAAAGCTTTTCAAACAGCTCTATTGTTTAGAAATGCTAATAAAGAAAAAAACTTTATGTCTATTTATTGTGGTTGAGCTTTTTTGGTTGGGTTGGTCTAATCCAGAAAACAAGCAAAGAATAAGTTAAAGCTTCTTAATATTTTGGGAAATTTCTGTTAATTTGAGCAGGAAAATAAGATCAAATGGGGGGGAATGTTGGCCGAGTGGGTTGGAGCAGTACGCTTGTGCTCTGAAAAGGTCACAAGTACCCGGTTCAAATCCCACTGCCTCCGCTCCGGGTCCCTGAGCATAGCTCCTGATTGCTCCCCGGGGGCCACACAATGGCAGCTCACTGCTCCCCAAAGAGAGACCAAATTCAGAGATACATTTCTCCAATCTGGGATCAATACAGTTAAATTATTATTAATGGGAGAATTTTTACTCTTAAAATTGATAATCAGAAATTCTTCACTTGAAATAAGATAACGGGGTTCCATCTGATTTAAATCAGTGTTTCTTGTTCTTCCTCTGCCTCCCAGTAAAATCCTTCAATAAGTGTTTTTACTGTAATCATCCTGATATGAAAACTGGCCCAGAGCTCATCCTCTGAACTGTTTCCCAGACAGAACCACACATGGAGCGAGTTACCTGTCTGAAAGTATTTTTAGATCAGTGCTTCTATGTTCATTTTCTAAGCCTGCTTCTGTGTCCTTGAACCTCCAGTCGGCCTTCAGAAAAAGCTGCTCACATTGAGCTGTGGGGGATTGCTTCCTGTTTAGGGTTTTTCCATCTTCACCGTCACTTCATGTTTACTGTAGTATTTCTATAGAGTCAATGAGAGGAGCTGCAGTCACTGAACGACTTGATGCAACCAGCTGCTTTTCCTTTAAACCATGTGATTGAATTGTCCCTGGAAAGTGACTTGACATGTCATGTTGGATCTCAGCACTATATAAATAAAGTGTATTGAAGTTTTATCATGAAACAAAAAAATAACCCTTCAGTTCCAAACTTGTGGATTTCTACAGCTCTTAACCCAACAAATTTATGGAGTGAATTTTGTTTTGTTATTGCTGCAAGCAAAGACTGTTTTACCAATGGAGATTAAAAAAAATGTGCAATCATAAATGTAAGTTATAAAAAACTTGGAACATACTGTATGTTTTCTGCTTTTTTTGGGCCCCCCCTCAGTCATGGGCCATTGGAATCTTCCTAACCAATTCCCCCCCACCCCCACCCCCCAATCCCCATACGGTGCCTCTGCCTGCATTAAAGGAATAGTACACCCAAAACATGATTAGCCTTCATTTTCTACTCACCCCCATGCTGAACAACACTCTGGAGTACTTTTTTGATATCTCAAATGCATCTGGAGATCTGGGAGGCTTCTTGCTGTCTGCTGGCATTCAAATAATGGAGGTCTATGGCGCCCGAGGCAGAAAGGTCCATAAAAGTCCACAAAAAACGTGTCAATATTCCTCCATATTGCTCGTCCAATGTATTCCAAGTGTCCTGAGTGGGTAGCGTCCATAATTTACTCGAAACAAAGTCATTTAGAATGTTTTTAGAGCATAAACAGTAGTGTATAGGATTTCCTGAAAGCGCGCGCCGGCGCGTTCACGAGTCTACGGAAACCGCGGCAGACCAAACCAGACGAAAGTGCGCATTCAGCTCGGCAAAGAACTCATGCTCTTCCTCAACACTGAAGTCCTCAGACATTTTTCTTTCGTTGTTTCTTTCTTTGCACAGGTAAACAGCACATTTCTTCTACGCTTGCATTATTGGCAGAGCAGACGCTGAATGCGCACTTTCATCTGGTTTGGTCTGCCGGCTTCCGTAGCGTCGTGAACGCGCTGGCGCGCGCTTTCAGGAAATCCTATACACTACTGTTCTCCAGAGTGTTGTTCAGCATGGGGGTGAGTAGAAAATGAAGGCTAATCATGTTTTGGGTGTACTATTCCTTTAATAAACACAACTCTTATTTGAATCCTGGATTCTCAGAGGTCCTCCTTAAGTAAGATTAGACAACGAGTATCAATACTTTACTCAAGTACTACTGTTGAGTACTTCGTCCCCCACTGGACATATACAGTGGAGATTATTTGACTCCGGAGGTCTGAATAGGTCTGTACATGGATGTAAAACTGAATAACGATTGGGAAAAAAAACACCTCTCTCATTCGGATTGAACTTTCTTTCTAAATTCAGAATTATTGCACAATATTTAAAGTAGAAACACTTAGAAAGCGGACAGTAAGCTTTAGAACTCGCTCCTTTGCCTCATTAAATGCAGCTTTGACTGAACTCACCTTTAGGTGAGCATGAAACTATTTTATTGCACAAAAAACGTGCTTTGTTTTTCGCGAATTAACTGCAATTAGCAAGTTTTCCAGTGGTTCTCACGCACGCGCGCGTGCGCACGATCACCCGCTGCTATGGAAACGGAGCACCAGTAAAAGTGGCAGCCATCTTTAACGGATCATTTCTGACCTGGACCTGGAAGCTTGAACTGCTGCAGTTTGTGATTTGCTAAACTGTTAAAGATGAGCACGCCACCAGAGGACAACAACTTGTGGGGAGATCATCTGGAAGGTTTGTTTCACTCTTTTACTATGTAAATATAAAAAATATATATATTGAAAAATTATTATTTTAATGTTTTTTCATGAAGTTGTGACAGCTAGCTTAGCATCTAGCATCCATGACATCTCAGAGATTAAATGTGTTTTTTTAATGAATTTGTCAGAAATGTTAACAGCGATTTAATTATTTGAAGAAAAAAAAAACATTTGTGTTTCAGAAAAACATCTTTGTTGAATTTTATGTGAACTGTTTGAAAACTAGATGGAGCTAGGTCTATTATTTTTAAAAAATGCCATGGAAATAAGTTTGCTCTGTATGGAAATGTTGGTAAAAATACATTAAATAAATATAGAAGGACATTTAACATAAAATATAATCAAGCCAAACTGTTTATTTTCCTATTTAATAAAAGAAAAAGAGTATTTTGGAAGTTAACTGAATTTTAACTAAAAAAAAAAAAAAGAAAAAAGAGATGAAGAATCTCAAGTTGTTTAGTTTAGTAAATGTGTTTAGGAAATGATATGTTTCTAACCAGTGTTTTTTAAAAAAAAGTTTTTTTTAAGGCGTACTAAGTATTCGATTACTTTTTATTGGTTGGAAATGGGAGGAATGCAATGTAAAACACAGACAAAGTTTGGTTTGAGAGAATAAACTTTGATTAATTTAATGTGAAAATGGTTGAAAAAATAACAACAAAATATTTCAGGATAAAATTGATTTTTTTTTAAATATATTTGAACCTGAAAAGGAAGGTCTTTTTTAAACCATGCTGTGGTAAACAAATTGGTCTCCATGGATACCTGAGTAGAATGCATTAAATAACTTTAGGAGTTTTTTTTTTTTACTTTAAAGGATGGTCAAAGGTGTTAAAGTATGGTTGATTTGAAAAGTTTTTTATTTTTACTCTAGGATGCACTGAAGAGGGGGTCTGATAAGCTGAGAATCTGGTTCTGAGAAATTATAGATCTGAAATTTAAACCTTGATGTTATCAAGCCTTTATTTCTGTCAATTAGGATAATTGTCTGCTTATAGTAAAATAACTTCAAAGATTGATGATTATGTTACCAAATCAGCCAATGACACTTTTTTTTTCTTATAAAGAAATGTATCTTATAGATCGAAACTATTTCTAATTTGGTAGTATGTGTTTAATGAAAACAGTTTTTAATGACAGCTTAAAATGTCCTCTAATCTTAATTTATCTTAATGTCTTAGTTCCCAATGTGGGGGTGTGTGCCCCCTAGTGGGAGCACAGTTTAATTGCAGGGGATGTTGTAGAAATAAACTAAATAAATGGCCCATTTAGAGCTAATTATTATTTTTGAATTTATAAATTTCTGAAATTAAAATTTTAAGCTCTATTTAACAGTGAAATGAACATTTACTGGTAGATATAAAATAAACTTACAATTTCATGGTAGTCTTGTGATTTAAAGGATATTGTAGTTTTTTTGTTCTAAACTTAGTTGTCAGCAAGATAGCATGTGAGGACCAGCAAAATGTCCCCCTTTACAACAATCAGTCCTCAATGTGATGGTGAAGCCAGAAAAATGGTCCTCAGGCTGGTGCAGAGACAGGAGAACACAATCATATACACATTTGTCTTATAAATAAACGTTTGTCTCAATGTATTTTTGTATGTATAGGATCTTTTACAGTATTATTTTTTATCTTAACACTAACCAAACCACTAGCATTGTGTATGTTTTTTTGTTGAGTTGTTTTAGCTCACAGATTGATGTTCTTATAGATTAAATCTACTTAACCCTGACAAACTAACACAGGCACATCCAGCAACCTAAAATAAAGCATTTATTTCTTTTCAATGAATGTTCCTTAATTAATGTTCCTGGTCCAACGATTTTTTTCCTAACAGTTCCAGACGCCGCGCTTCCAGTTGATCCTGACCCGGAGCCCCAGCTCTTGATAGAGGATGAGGGTAATTTAAATCAGTCTAATATCATTGACAATGCGGATGATAATGAGGAGGTGGAAGTCAGAGAACTAGTGGTGAATATAGGGTATGGTGGGGAAAACAGTCACCACGTAGCCATAGAGTTTGTGCTGGAGCATGGCGAGGAGGTAGACCTCGTAGTCGTAGAGTTGGGGCTAAGTCGTAGAGACGTAGAAGCAATACTGGAGGAGCAGAATGAGGAGGAGGAGGTTGATGCTGATAATGTTAGGGCAAGTTTTGGTGAGTCTCCTGACACAAGCTCTGAGGAAGAAGATCATGATGAAGACGATGGCCACCTTTCACCGCATCTTCAGTTCACCCAGAGCATTCCCCCGGACTTCAGCCTTCCACGGAACAACGAGGAGCCAGAGGAGTCCCTGGAGCGCCCAGAAGACCGCGTCTCCAGGAAGAGGAGAAGAGAGGAAGACGCTGAAGATGAAGATCACGATGAAGACGATGGCCACCTTTCACCGCATCTTCAGTTCACCCAGAGCATTCCCCCGGACTTCAGCCTTCCACGGAACAACGAGGAGCCAGAGGATCCCTGGAGCGCCCAGAAGACCGCGTCTCCAGGAAGAGGAGAAGAGAGGAAGACGCTGAAGATGAAGAAGATCACGATGAAGACGATGGCCACCTTTCACCGCATCTGCAGTTCACCCAGAGGATTCCCCCCGACTTCAGCCTTCCACGGACCCACGAGGAGCCAGAGGAGTCCCTGGAGCGCCCAGAAGACCGCGTCTCCAGGAGGAGAAGAAGAGAGGAAGACGATGAAGAGGAGCGCCCTGGGAAGAGGCCTCGTCGTGAGAGGGATATTTAAGAAGAGGAGTTTCAAATGGATATAATTTATTGTTTGTTTTCATATCTGGCAGGTCTAGGGATGCCTTAGGTAGCTTCTTGCACCGTGGCTTTTCTTTACCCCGCTGCTAGATTTAGGTTTTTTTAAGATGTTAGGGTGTCTGGCAGGTCTAGGGATGCCTTAGGTAGCTTCTTGCACCGTGGCTTTTCTTTACTCCGCTGCTAGATTTAGGTTTTTTTAAGATGTTAGGGTGTCTGGCAGGTCTAGGGATGCCTTAGGTAGCTTCTTGCACCGTGGCTTTTCTTTACTCCGCTGCTAGATTTAGGTTTTTTTAAGATGTTAGGGTGTCTGGCAGGTCTAGGGATGCCTTAGGTAGCTTCTTGCACCGTGGCTTTTCTTTACTCCGCTGCTAGATTTAGGTTTTTTTAAGATGTTAGGGTGTCTGGCAGGTCTAGGGATGCCATAAGTAACGTCTTGCACTGTGGCTTTTCTTTTCCCCGCTGCTAGATTTAGGGTTTTTTAAGATGTTAGGGTGTCTGACAGGTCTAGGGATGCCTTAGGTAGCTTCTTGCACCGTGGCTTTTCTTTTCCCCGCTGCTAGATTTAGGTTTTTTTAAGATGTTAGGGAGTCTGGCAGGTCTAGGGATGCCTTAGGTAGCGTCTTGCACCGTGGCTTTTCTTTCCCCCGCTGCTAGATAGTTTAGATGTTAAGAATTTTCTTTAGCACAGACATCTGAGGACATGACAACATAGTTTGGTACATGATAGCTGGTTAAGGCAGAAATAATCTAGAATGTTCTACATCTAATATCATAGCTGGACAGTCTGCCAGTTAACAGAAGACAACACAAACAAAGGATTGATAGAAGAACAAGAAGAATGTTCAACAAGGTGAAACACAGAGTGGAGGCAAGTTAACAAAAAACAAATAAAAACACCAGAAGACAAAGAATTAATCCTGGTTGAAAACCACAAGGAGGCAAACCAATCCAAGGAAACAGCTGGACATCGCTGCTGAGGACAACGTGGAGTTGAGTTGAGGCAGAGAGAAAAGGCTGTAGTGGAGGTTGATAGAAGCTGTCTAGAGCAGAGGTTTCTCACTCCAGTCCTCTACAGCAGTGTTTCTGCAGTTTTCAGATGCATCTCTCCTCCAACACACCAGGATCAAACAAACAGCCTTTTACCAGACCTCTGCAGAGCTGAATGACTGATGAGGGAATTCAGCCCTTTGATTCAGGTCTGATGGAGAAGAGATGTGTCTAAAAACTGCAGCATAGCAGCTCTGGTGGAGTGAAGTTTGAAAGCCTGATCTAGAGCAGGACGATGCTGCAGGGGACAAACTGGATACAATGGACAGAGACACAGCTTGTGGTGATCATCAGTTGAACTGGTCTCTGGGATGTTGGTGAAAAGGTAGAGAGATGACGCTTGATAATTGATTTTAGAGCAGTTTGAGGCAGAGGACAGGACTCATGTAGTGGTTTTGGTTGTGAGAGGAGTCGACTGTTAGAAACAGCTTTCCGATGTGACTTGGTCTAGTTCTAGATGTTCCTCTGGTCAGTTAGTTTTCAGGCCTAGTTGGAGGGGAAAGAACCCTCTGCAGAAATATTCGCCATATCATCTAGGCCTGTTCTGACCGCAGTGGATCTCTTCTGTGTTTTTTGAATGTTGGACCGAGCCTCTCCAAGCTTTGGGCCATCAGAAGATGCTGATGAGATCTGCAGCGACCAAACCAGAGGAGGATCATCTGGGCTGCCGACCTTCACAAAGAGTGAGAGCATATTCAGTAAGGAGCAACAATAATCCATCATTTAATTATAAAGTTAACATTTCAGGTGGCCTCACTTAGTTTTTCATGTTAATTTCAGACACTGTGGACGTCCTAAAGCAGAACTCCTGTGAGGAACCGGGACCTCCAGGATGGTGAGGAGCTTCCCAGTCCCCACCTGAGGACGGCACAGAGAAAGACTGGAACAGAAAACACACGGAGTAAGACTTTATTAACACCACAAACCCACAACTCAAGCTTCCCAGGCCTGATCAAAAGCTAACAGTCATTGAAACACAGACAGACCAAGATTATGATGAAAACAACATCCTGCCCCAGATTTCAACTTGGTGTCAAGGAATTTCTGTAGATTAATTTGTCTTATTTTTTTACAGGGAAAGCAGGTTGAACAGCTAGCAGTGTTCTAGCAGTCGGATCACATCGGAACAGAGACCATCCACACATGTTTGGAGGTATGTTGCTTGTTGTTTGACTAGAGAGGAATCACATGCAGACAGACACTGAGGACACTTTGCTTTCACTGATAAAGGAGCTGAAGAAGAGGATGAAGCACACAGACCGCTAAGGAGGAGAGACATGGCTCCTATATTTCTCTTTAACATTCTGGAGTCCTGGAGTAAAACAACGTTGACGACCCCGCAGCTAAACCACCAGTCTGCTCCACCCAGTAGAAGAAGGTAACGTACCTTTATGCTTCCAGATGTTCATCAGTATTGGTGAAGATATTAAAAACAGATCCAGAACAAACAGATACAAATGCTACAACCATCCCATTAGGAGTTGTAACCTTTAATCTTTATCTTTCCATCATGAATGGATGTTCACCTCTATTTGTCTCTTTGTAACCAAACCTTTACCAGAACCAGAAGTTCTGACTTTTCCATTAGACCACAGATAAACAGTTAAGAAGCAGCTTCTGATCCAATATGGAAGAATTTCCCCCTGGTTGATCTCTGAAGGTTTTTTTTAGAACGTATTAAAGCAGAGAAACGACCGACTGAAGACTTGTAGCATTTCCAAGCATCCATTGTCTTCAGTTATCACGTCTGTTAAAGGGGAACGGCGTGTTTTTCAAGTGGCTCCTTGATTTTCTGGTTCTGGTTCTGAGAAATTATAGATCTGAAATTTAAACCTTGATGTTATCAACCCTTTATTTCTGTTAATTAGGATAATTTTCTGCTTATAGTGAATAAACTTCAAAGATTGATGATTATGTTACCAAATCAGCCAATGAAACCTTATTTTTTCCGATAAAGAAATATATCTAATAGATTGAAACTATTTCTAATTTGGTTGTCAGTAATATTTTTACTGACAGCTTAAAATGTCTTTTAATCTGAACTAAACCTAATGTCATAGTTCCCAAAGTGGGGGTGTGTGCCCCCTAGTGGGAGCACAGTTTAATTGCAGGGGACCTGGTAGAATTAACTAAATAAAAGGACCATTATTTTTTGTATTGATAACTTTCTTAAAATAAAATTCTAAGCCCTATTTAACAGTGAAATAAACATTAAGATTTAAAATAAACTTTCAATTTCATGGTAGTGATTTAAAGGATATTTTAGTTTTTTTGTTCTAAACTTAGTTGTCAGCAAGATAGCATGTGAGGAGCAGCAAAATGTCCCCCTTTACAACAATCAGTCCTCAATGTGATGGTGAAGTCAGAAAAATGGTCCTCAGGCTGGTGCAGAGACAGGAGAACACAATCATATACACATTTGTCTTATATATAAACATTTGTCTTAATGTATTTTTGTATGTATAGGATCTTTTACAATAGTATTTTTTAATCTTAACACTAACCAAACCACTAGCATTGCTTATGTTTTTTTGTTGAGTTGTTTTAGCTCACAGATTAATGTTCTTATTGATTAAAGGGGAACGCCGTTTTTTTTACATTGGGCCCTTGATTTTACATTAGTACATCATGTTCTACTCACCCATATGAGTTTTGTGTCATTTGGAGCCGTTCTGAAGATATTCAGTTAGGTTATATCCAAGTAACGTCTTCCTATGGGCAACGAGTTGAAGGCACAAACTAAACTATTCTTAACTTATCATTTATGGTACGCCAGCATTAATAACATGTGGGTGAATCACTGTCCCCCAGACATCCGCGGTTATATTTTTTATATTTATCTCTTTTAAAAACAAAGCGGAGTGTGTATGACATCATCCGCGCGCGCTGGCTACATTCATTCTTCTTGTTCGCTGAACTGCTGCTAGTTTTACTCACATGTCTGGAGATGTCAAGTGCTGCTACCACAGATGATCTTGCTCTGGAAATGGAACTGAACGATTCAGATTAGCTAGAATGAATATAAGGGCTAGAGCGTAGCCGCCTGTGGCCCGGACTGCCTGTCACAACTCCAGTCCGACGCGCGGATGACGTCATACACGTACCGCTTTGTTTTTAAAAGATATAAATATAAAAAATATAACCGCGGATGTCTGGGGGAAAGTGATTAGCCTACATGTTATGAATGCTGGCGTACCATAAAGAATAAATTATGAACAGTTTAGTTTGTGCCTTCAAGTCGTTGCCCATAGGAAGACTTACTTGGATATAACCTAATGGAATATCTTCAGAACGGCTCAAATGACACAAAACTCATATGCGTGAGTAGAGCATGATGTAATAAAGTCAAATCAAGAGCCCAATATAAAAAAAAAAACAGCGTTCCCCTTTTCACTAACTCCTGTTCTTCTTTTCCAGATGAGGTCATCTGTTCCTTGGACGTCAGTAGATGGGCTCTGACATGGAGGTTCCTTCCTGTTTGAAGCTAGTTTTCCTCTCTACTGTCACCACTTCATTGCTCAGGAGGGACTGCTGCAAAATGAACGACTGGATGTGATTGGCTGAGCTTCCTTGGATTGAAGACATTTCTCTAAACGCCATAATAAGCTGAATTTATCTTCCCCATGTTGTAAATAGGATTGGACTGGATGTTTGTTTTTCAATTTGATTCTGTTTGTGTTGAATTCTGTTACATGTTTCTGTATTAAAGCTGTCATGTTAATTGCCTTTAGATGACATTTGTTGGGACTTGTTTCTATTTTATAAGACTGTATTATAATAAATCCCCCTACTGGGTCTGTTTCTGTTGAAGTATGTTTCCTGTCGTTCTATCTTCTCCTGTTATTTCTCACTATAATAAACGTTTGATTCAAGTCATGTGAACAGGATCTTTTTGTCTTTTTTTTTGTAAATTGTCTTGAAATAAGTGGTTGTAAATTTGTAAATGTTTTAAAACTGAAGTCAACTTGAGAAAGTATTCTAATATTACTATAGTACAGCGCTTTGGCAGATTGGTGGTTATTATTGTGTCTCTGTTGGGGGGTCTGACCTGACAGCTCATGTTAACAGAACAATTGTTCTTGTCACCTTGCAGTGTCAAAACAAATTAGCTCTAAAAAAGGACAGTGAGACGTTCCTCCTGCAGTTCTTCTGATTTTATTGACCTTATAGACAATCTGGGAGTTAAGCAGCAGAGCAGACAGTAAACATCAACACTAAGCCATACAAAGAAAAAAACAAACAAATATGGGAGGATAATTAAAGATGAATGTTAAAATAAAACTAGAGGAAGATAGTAGGCATGTTTAGTGAACCCAAAGGCAAACAGCTTTGCTTAATTTAAACAAAACTTTGTCCAAAGCTGATTTTTATCTTCTTTAAAAACGCGTCAAACGTGTGCGCCTCAAATGTGAAACAATATGAATACACATTGTGGATTAACCGATCTATCTATCTAGAGATTAGCATGACATTCCCCAAATGTGAGAAACTCGGGGCAGATGTTATTGAAAGTTTATTCATTTTATTAAGGCATTAGTTGTTGCCATGTGGCCAGGTTGTTCAGATACATTCTCAAATCAGAGTTGTAGTTTCTTTGTGGTAATAGATTCAACATTAAACATTTTACAGTTTGAGGAGAATCAAGGCTCTCCTGTTTTCTTTTTGGTTTGTTTTTGAATAATAAATAATAATCAAGATAGCTCTTTATTTTTGTGCTGTTTTTATGCTGAAGTTCTTTACAAGTGGTGTAGAATTGGTAGCAGGTGGTTCTAAGCATCAATAGATCAGGTTGTTTCTGAAAGTTACAAAGTTCTTTAAAAAGACTGAAAATTACACAGAAAAATACTGAAATTACAACAATTTGCTTGTATTTTTTAATACTAATACTTATTGAATCTTCACTTGAATATTTTAAAAATTCAATACTTGACTAACTTTTACAAAATACAATGTTTAATGTTGGGCAAAGAGCTGTAACCACACTGGGTGCAAAGCAAAGGAAAAGGCAGCTTGTATGAGATAAAGGCAGTAAATATTTCATTTATTTATTTTCTTTCCTGCTCTTTTTTCCCCAAACCTTTATATAGGTTTAAAATCACAATTCTAAAAAAAAAAAAATCATAGCAGTCATCGGGTCTCTTGCACAGTGATTTATATAAATAGACTGTATATAAAATAGAGAAGAAATAGTGTAATAAAAAACACAAGTTGTTTAAAAAGAAAATTGGAAAATACATTTTATTTACTGATTGCCAAATTACTACATTTGGTAATCTACAGAAAAAGGAGCGAACAGCTTTGAAGTCTCTGGATTTGGTTCTTTAGAGGTGAGATGGGGACATATGCTGGTAAAAACTTAGATCCACATATAACCAGCAGATTAAAGCAGCTGGCATGGTGTTTAAAGTTAACAGTGTGTGATGCCTTGAAAAAGTATATGTATGCATAAAACATAGCAGGCCTGCTGTGACCATGTACTTCTAATACATATAAATATCTATTTGGCTGCCTTCACAGTAAGCCTGCTCTTCTCTGTTTGCATATATCTCTAAAGCAACATTTCCTGCAAACACAAAAATGCAAAAAAAAACAAAAAACAAAAAAAAAGAGAGCCAAGGGCAAAAAAAGAATGGATATTGTTTAAAACTACATTTTGACTCAAACACTGTTTGTAATTAAAAGTTTAAAGGTCATAGCTACAACTTTTCAACAAAAAACGTTTCTTTTTTCAATAATACGTCCAAAAAACATGTAGTGGTGTAGAATTAAAGTATGAATTTATTGAAAAAATATATGCTTAGAATATATATATAGCTTTTATAGATTTTGACGAGTTGAGAATATATAAATATTTACTTCAGCAGATGAAAAACATGCCTGTTAGGTTAAACGGTCGTAGAGGAGTGAGTGTGTTCATGGCTGTCTGCTCTGGGCGTTCCTGTGTTCTGATGCAGTGGGTGGCTCTAATCCACCTTTGCCCAAAGACTGCTGAAGATATAAGCACCAGCTCCCCTGATCCTGAGGAACCTGCGGTAAAGAAGATGGATTGAAAACCTTTAACCCAAAGTCACAACAGTTACCCACACAATACAACAAGATGATCCAGGGTTCCCCTCATCTGCACAGTTTGATATTCTGCAGACAGAAGGTTTGGGAGAAAAGTTGTAGCATGTTGGACTCTGACATCCCGACGCTGTGTCTACATAGAAAAAACATTATTAAATAATGTCCCTGAGGTTTTGTCATTAGAGCAGTCATGTTCAGTGCAGTTTCTACTGCTCCTCTGTCGGTAAAGCATAGAAAACTGCAAGCTGGGGTTGTGTTTGGCCTTCCTATAGAATGGAATCCCAAATATCCTGTCTAAGCAAACTCAGTTTTGGATTTATATGATCCTAACATTTCTTTTAATTTTTGCAAAGTTCCCTACAGTGGTTGAGCTTGATAAGGCCCTGATAAAATCTATACTTTGAAGGATTTAAAGGACAAAAATTACAGAAAGAAACTGGGAATTGTATGGAGGACAGGAGAGTTAGGAGCATCTGTTGGTTTAACTGCTTTTCTCTGAGCTCAGGGACCAGGAGGGTGACTGAAATGATAAATGGAGAAGTTAAAGTAAAAAAAATAAGATTAGAAAATGCAAGGTGAGAGAGAAAATGGAATAAAGAATTACATTTCTAAATGTATGATTAGGAAGGTATTCATGAATTATGGTTTTTAAATATCAATTCAGAAGTAGCATTTCAGAAAAATACAAAATTGTTCTATTTAATAATGAAGTATTAAATATAATTTGTCTTGAATATTTCGATTTAAAATGTGCGATTAGAAAACTCTTTTTAAATAAGATTGGATTTTCAAATAAAATTTTTAATTGCATGATTTAAAAGCATAATATTTTAAATGCATGCAATTTTAGCATAATATGGGAACATTAAAACATTTGAAAAGGCTTTTTTTTCTCCCCTTTTCACTGACTCTTCTGGTCCTCCATAGTTAATAAAATGTCATGGAAACGTAAAATAGAAAAATGGAAATGCAAATTAAAAGTACTAGGTGAAAAAAAATATATAAACTTTTAAAATGATTACTAAAGAAAGGAATTTATAAACAAATTCATGACTTGTTTTAATATCTTTTCAAAAATTGTTTAAATATATAGATATTTTTAAATCATTTGGAATAATTTGACTTTAGAATAAGCAATTATAAGGTGATTTTTTTATTGTATGATTAAAGTTGAATATTTGAAACAGTTATATTTCTTTTTCATTGAATCTTCTGGTCCTCCATAGAAATTAGACCAAAATGAACTTTAGGAACTCGATCCTGAGTTTGTGTTTTAATCCAAACAGAACAATATCAGAAGGAGAATAAACTTTAGAGGAAGCTTTCTAATGTTTTCTAAACTCCTGCAAATCATGATTCCCTGCGCTATCGTTTCCATTTGAGTCCCCACTCCAGCAGACTGGGAGTCAGAGTGTTGCTGATGTACATTATGTGTGAATGTGGGAGTTGTAGTCCTGTCAGACAAGACTAAAGCCCTGATTACCTTGTAGATAAAACTAATCCATTGCGTGGGAGCAGCACTAAGATGGCCACAGACAGAGGGGAAGGATGATCCTCTAATCTCTGCAGTCTGCCAGAGGAATTCCCATCGCAGCCTGGCTTTGATGCCTATAATGACCGCCACTCTCATTGTTTATAAGCGCTGAGCAGGCATTATAATTACTTTATTGATCCTAGGGTGGGGAATTCCCTCAGTGGTGAACACAGACGTAATACAAATAACCCAGTCATCAATAACAACTTTGATTCTGTGCAGCTAACAATTAGGATGGACAGGAGGGCGTTTGATAACCAAACACATCCATCTGACCAAGTTTAATGCATATTGAACAGAAAACATCACACTTTATGACATGAGCACTGATTTTAAAACAACTAAACCAGTTTATTAAGTCAGACAGGGAAACTAAGAAATGATTCTTACAATTTAAACTTCAAGGAAAAGTGCGGCCATATTTAGAATTCAAACTTCTGAAAGTTCTTTAAATATGAAATTTTTCCATACTGTTCAATAAATGATCAGTGTTTTTAATTCAGAGTAATATTCATTTGAATGTGCTTTACTGGAGGCATCCATGTTTGTCTAAGAACACTACTGCCACCTACTGGTTAGTGACATTGTCACGGTGCAGTATCGGCTGTTGATCAAGTCCCAGTGCTGTATCTGGTGTTTGTCACAACGCGCTATTATCCAAGTCATCTTGAAAACATTCTTCTTCCAAATGTTGGCTACATATTACGGGTTTTTTCTCTGGCCAGAAGTTCGATGGCAAATCCTCCCTCTTCAAGTTGGCGATCCAACGACCAACCCGTCGGTGGAGGATCAGGAATCAGAAAGGTGAAATAATTCTTTTTATTTTTCACTTTTACCCGATGTATTCCAGCATCCAGCTGCCATGCACGTGGGCATTGTCAGTTTCACTATAGCTCTGGTGAATTTCAATGGTGAAGTCCTCTGGAAATCTTCAATAATTGTTGTTGATTGCAGATGTGTCTAGTAGTTCCCATTGATTTAGCTTGTAAAGCGGGGAGAATGGCGCTAGGCTTACCGCACCGTGACGTCACTGCAGGAAGATGGCAGGAGGGAGGGGTTACTATATTTAGGCAAAAATGGCCGCTCACAGACTCGGTGATCGCAGCGAAAATTATTGTTTTTATTTTTTACTGATTAACGCTAAATTCATTAAATCACAGCAAACGTATTATTTTTAGGTATAAATAATGATCCATTGATTATTCCTATTCCTTGCTGACTGGACTTTTCCTTTAAACCTGATAT